AGGGACTTTTACTGACGTGACACCAAACACAAGTGTTTAGTTGTTTAGGGACTTTTACAGACGTGATACCAAACAAAAGTGTTTAGTTGCTTAGGGACACTTATACTGACGTGACACCAAACACAAGTGTTTAGTTGTTGAGGGACGTTTACGGACGTAACACCAAACACAAGTGTTTAGTTGTTCAGGGACTTTTACTGACGTGACACCGAACACAAGTGTTTAGTTGTTTAGGGACTTTTAGAGACGTGACACCAAACACAAGTGTTTAGTTGTTCAGGGACTTTTACTGATGTGACACCAAACACAAGTGTTTAGTTGTTTAGGGACACTTATACTGACGTGACACCAAACACAAGTGTTTAGTTGTTTAGGGACTTTTACTGACGTGACACCAAACACAAGTGTTTAGTTTTTTAGGGACTTTTACGGACGTGACACCAAACACAAGTGTTTAGTTGCTTAGGGACTTTTACGGACGTGACACCAAACACAAGGGTAGTGTTACTTTATGAATTTTCCTTTTTTTAGTACCACTGGTTATGTCAAAATGTACGGCTATGCCATCTGGTTATGTATATTTCTTCACTGTTTTGTTTTCTTCATAGACAAACTAAATTTCTGGAAAGGTGCTCTTAACTTTGCATTTTTAAATACCTTTTAATCGACTTCCAGAATAGGACTGACAAATGATACTCAGTTGTTTGTTATCATATGTTTCTTGCTTCCCCTACCTACTGTGTCTTCATGTCGCGATTAACTCGGTACACATGGGCTTGCTTCCCCTACCTACTGTGTCTTCATGTCGCGGTTAACTCGGTACACATGGGCTTGCTTCCCCTACCTACTGTGTCTTCATGTCGCGGTTAACTCGGTACACATGGGCTTGCTTCCCCTACCTACTGTGTCTTCATGTCGCGGTTAACTCGGTACACATGGGCTTGCTTCCCCTACCTACTGTGTCTTCATGTCGCGGTTAACTCGGTACACATGGGCTTGCTTCCCCTACCTACTGTGTCTTCATGTCGCGGTTAACTCGGTACACATGGGCTTGCTTCCCCTACCTACTGTGTCTTCATGTCGCGGTTAACTCGGCACACATGGGCTTGCTTCCCCTACCTACTGTGTCTTCATGTCGCGGTTAACTCGGTACACATGGGCTTGCTTCCCCTACCTACTGTGTCTTCATGTCGCGGTTAACTCGGCACACATGGGCTTGCTTCCCCTACCTACTGTGTCTTCATGTCGCGGTTAACTCGGCACACATGGGCTTGCTTCCCCTACCTACTGTGTCTTCATGTCGCGGTTAACTCGGCACACATGGGCTTGCTTCCCCTACCTACTGTGTCTTCATGTCGCGGTTAACTCGGCACACATGGGCTTGCTTCCCCTACCTACTGTGTCTTCATGTCGCGGTTAACTCGGCACACATGGGCTTGCTTCCCCTACCTACTGTGTCTTCATGTCGCGGTTAACTCGGTACACATGGACTAGCGTCGAATATCACAACTTAATTGCTAGATATCGCCTGGTGACGGACACAATAACAAAGAGACAGGTTGATGAAGACTTTGGACAAGTTTTGTGGTCAACATAAAGATCTGGCAGAGAAATGGGCTACTTCTGTTTGTGGTATGGAGGTCGATATTTTGTATAAGTGGAAGTTACCGTTCATAGGAAAACATCACATTGCAGTGAGACAGTTGATGGTTAATAGTCATACCTGTAGTATGGTAACATCCGGGCCATCAAGAGTGATTACTATGAGTTGAAATAACTTGTTTCATAATTGTTGTAAAATAAATTAAGTTTATATTTATATTTATATAGTATCATATAGGTCCATTCTAAACGGAATTCTTATTCATAGTCATCACAATTTGTGACCGTACCAAAACAGGTAATGCTGCCCGTCTTCTAACAAAACAGTCCAACTAAATAGTATTGCTTCCGATTCACCTACACACATTTGGATCATCTAGAATTGATTGTAGACTCAGTGTTTACGCTATTACACGACAGTATCAATGGTACGGAACTATCATATGACAGGAATAATGCAGATCACGCCTTCTAGTTTACAAGTCTTGGGCAATATCATATATTTTATAAATATTAAGTTTGTATTCAAATTACGCATTTAATGACGTAGAATTTCTTTCAACATTGCCTTGTATCAAATTGATAAATACCAATAATAGGATGAACATTTTATTCAGATTTGGAAACACCATTGCCATAAAAAGTTAACTTGGCTTTTGTGGTTTTTGTGCCGGCTATTGTAGAACTATTAGTACAGACTGTGGGAACCCGGCAGGGTAAAGAAGTAGATCCATTAGTACAGACTGTTGGAACAGAGCAGGGATAAGACGTAGAACCATGAGTACAGACTGTGGGAACTGAGCAGGGTAAAGAAGTAGATCCATTAGTACAGACTGTGTTCCCACAGTCTATGCTAATGGTTCTACTTCTTTATCCTACCGTGTTCCCACAGTCTGTACTCATGGTTCTACGTCTTATCCCTGCTCTGTTCCAACAAACAATACTAATAGTTCTACGTCTTAACCCTGCTCTGTTGGAACAGAGCAGGGATAAGACGTAGAACCATGAGTACAGACTGTGGGAACGAACAGAGCAGGGTTAAGTCGTAGAACCATTAGTACATACTGTTGGAACAGAGCAGGGATAAGACGTAGAACCATGAGTACAGACTGTGGGAACCCGGCAGGGTAAAGAAGTAGATCCATTAGTACAGACTGTTAGAACAGAGCAGGGTTAAGACGTAGAACTATTAGTACAGGCTGTGGGAACAGAGCAGAGTAAAGAAGTAGAACCATTATTACAGACTGTGGGAACAAAGAAGGGAAAAGAAGTAGAACCATTATTACAGACTGTGGGAACACGCCAGGGTAAAGACGTAGAACCAATAGTACAGACTGTGGGAACGAACAGAGCAGGGTTAAGTCGTAGAACCATTAGTACAAACTGTGGGAACAGAGCAGAGTAAAGAAGTAGAACCATTATTACAGACTGTGGGAACACAAAAGGGTGGGGACGTAGAACCATTAGTATAGACTGTGGAAACAGAGCAGGATAAAGAATTAGACCCATTAGTACAGACTGTGGAAACAGAGCAGGGTAAAGAAGTAGAACCATTAGTACAGACTGTGGGAACACAACAGGGTGAAGACGTAGAACCATTAGTACAGACTGTTGGAACAGAGCAGGGTTAAGACGTAGAACCATTAGTACAGACTGTGGGAACAGAGCAGGGTAAAGAAGTAGAACCATTAGTACAGACTGTGGGAACAGAGCAGGATAAAGAATTAGAACCATTAGTACAGACTGTGGGAACACAACAGGGTAAAGACGTAGAACCGTTAGTACATACTGTGGGAACACGGCAGGGTAAAGACGTAGAACCATTAGTACAGACTTTGGGAACAGAGCAGGGTAAAGAGGTAAAGAAGTAGAACCATTAGTACAGACTGTGGGAACACAACAGGGTAAAGACGTAGAACCATTAGTATAGACTGTGGGAACAGAGCAGGGTAAAGAAGAAGAACCATTAGTACAGACTGTGGGAACAGAGCAGGGTAAAGAAGTAGAACCATTAGTACAGACTGTGGGAACACAGCAGGGTAAAGAAGTAGAACCATTAGTACAGACTGTGGGAACACAGCAGGGTAAAGAAGTAGAACCATTAGTACAGACTGTGGGAACACAGCAGGGTAAAGAAGTAGAACCATTAGTACAGACTGTGGGAACACAGCAGGGTAAAGAAGTAGAACCATTAGTACAGACTGTGGGAACACAGCAGGGTAAAGAAGTAGAACCATTAGTACAGACTGTGGGAACACAGCAGGGTAAAGAAGTAGAACCATTAGTACAGACTGTGGGAACACAGCAGGGTAAAGAAGTAGAACCATTAGTACAGACTGTGGGAACACAGCAGGGTAAAGAAGTAGAACCATTAGTACAGACTGTGGGAACACAGCAGGGTAAAGAAGTAGAACCATTAGTACAGACTGTGGGAACACAGCAGGGTAAAGAAGTAGAACCATTAGTACAGACTGTGGGAACACAGCAGGGTAAAGAAGTAGAACCATTAGTACAGACTGTGGGAACACAGCAGGGTAAAGAAGTAGAACCATTAGTACAGACTGTGGGAACACAGCAGGGTAAAGAAGTAGAACCATTAGTACAGACTGTGGGAACACAGCAGGGTAAAGAAGTAGAACCATTAGTACAGACTGTGGGAACACAGCAGGGTAAAGAAGTAGAACCATTAGTACAGACTGTGGGAACACAGCAGGGTAAAGAAGTAGAACCATTAGTACAGACTGTGGGAACACAGCAGGGTAAAGAAGTAGAACCATTAGTACAGACTGTGGGAACACAGCAGGGTAAAGAAGTAGAACCATTAGTACAGACTGTGGGAACACAGCAGGGTAAAGAAGTAGAACCATTAGTACAGACTGTGGGAACACAGCAGGGTAAAGAAGTAGAACCATTAGTACAGACTGTGGGAACACAGCAGGGTAAAGAAGTAGAACCATTAGTACAGACTGTGGGAACACAGCAGGGTAAAGAAGTAGAACCATTAGTACAGACTGTGGGAACACAGCAGGGTAAAGAAGTAGAACCATTAGTACAGACTGTGGGAACACAGCAGGGTAAAGAAGTAGAACCATTAGTACAGACTGTGGGAACACAGCAGGGTAAAGAAGTAGAACCATTAGTACAGACTGTGGGAACACAGCAGGGTAAAGAAGTAGAACCATTAGTACAGACTGTGGGAACACAGCAGGGTAAAGAAGTAGAACCATTAGTACAGACTGTGGGAACACGGCAGGGTAAAGAAGTAGAACCATTAGTACAGACTGTGGGAACACAGCAGGGTAAAGAAGTAGAACCATTAGTACAGACTGTGGGAACACAGCAGGGTAAAGAAGTAGAACCATTAGTACAGACTGTGGGAACACGGCAGGGTAAAGAAGTAGAACCATAAGTACAGTCTGTGGGAACACAGCAGGGTAAAGAAGTAGAACCATTAGTTTAGACTGTGGGAACACAACAGGGTAAAGACGTAGAACCATTAGTACAGACTGTTGGAACACAACAGGGTAAAGACGTAGAACCATTAGTACAGACTGTGGGAACACGGCAGGGTCAAGAAGTAGAACCATAAGTGCAGTCTGTGGGAACACAGCAGGGTAAAGAAGTAGAAACATTAGTACAGACTGTGGAAACACGGCAGGGTAAAGAAGTAGAACCATTAGTACAGACTGTGGGAACACAACAGGGTAAAGAAGGTAGATTATTACAGCTATCGGTCTCCTCGACTCTATCTCTCATCACACACTCAACCATTTGGCGCCAAATCCAGACGATATACGGTCGACCTGACGAGTACAATACGAAAATAAAACAGATTTACTGGCTGAAAGATTGTCAAATATGGAATTTAATCAAATATTCAGTAAAATGAGTCGTATATCAGGACATGTCATGTTTACTTTGAAACTTTAACAGCAAGTATCAAGTAAACACACCGCCAGCATTGCCAGCGCAGTGTCTCAGTGGTGGATATTATATAGGTTACTTATTGCAAACAATATTACCGGCTAGGAAAACAATCTATGACCGATTGACAAATATTTGGAACAACAACTAAAGAAAAAAATAATTTCTGAAGAAGGTACATCCGATCTTAATAAACGTTCTGTATAAGATTCTGTAAACATGCAATTAGTTTAGTATAATTGAAACAGGTGTAACAGGCAAACGCAACTTTGTGTGATAGCGAATCCCGATAAGTTTGTCTGCGGCACATTCGCTAGTTATTCTGGAAAGTCTGCCATACCGAAATTTACACATAAAGCGACGCTTTCAGAAATAATTAATTTGTTATCAATTTTTAGAAAGTATATTATGTTTCAAATTCATAACGCCAATCAATGAAGCAATTACATGAGTACGCGCCGATTAAACAGGAATTGATAAAGCCAAAAATATGAATACGTGTCGATAAAAACGCCTAAGGATGCCACAGTCCACCTTATTAGCGGTACATATGAAGCTATGTATATATACTGCTCACAGCAGTGGCGTTTACGCCCTTATTGATGACACTCCTCATAGAAAGGCATTGCCAAACCGAAAGAAAAAAAAGCATATAGTACGATACACTGTATAGATATAGGATAATTATATATGATATTTTTTCCTTCTATTTTTCAATGTTTAAAAGCACTGATGGGTTTTAAATGGGCACAACGGTCACGTGGTGCTTTAAGTGTTTTCTTTGTTTGATTTTCTCTATCGACTTACCATTACCATTTTACAGTGATTGATTTACACGTGTAATAAGTGCCAAGCTTCCTATCTAAGCTTTATTGGATATAGATAAACAGAAAATAGAGTTTTTGTATGATATCAAATAGATTACACACACAATTCTTGTTTAATGTGATATTTAGATACGCACATGATACGTTTTATTTAAAAACTTCATATTTCAATTTTAAAAACTTATCAAAAATGAAAAAAGGAAACGTGTATTTGACGTTCAGATAATCACGTTTTAAATAATTACAATAAGTTTATATAATAATACTATTTTTTTGTGAATGACCCTAGCGACTAAACAACGACTGGACTGAGTACATCTTGACTAAATTAGATGAACATACCACATGGGCTTTGCGAACAATGTTTACTTGCCGAAATATTCACAATTGAAGTTCCAATTTAATCCGCCTTGCTACTTCCAGTCGCCATTTTGTAGACAGGGGCCTAATCTCGAGCTGATGCGCGTTTGAAAGAGTTTGAAGTATTGCAAAGCTTCTAAACGATCATGCCCCAAGAACATACTCTCAGGATGTTGTTTTTGATAAATTTACTATCAATTATTTACTATATTTCTTTTGTGTATCACTTTCATTAATTCATAAAAAAGCAAATAGATTTTTTCCTCTTCGAACTTTTTTTTTCAAATGTTAAAACACATTTCTTCTTAAAAAAATGTTCTAGTTTCGAGATTATGATCAAACGTCGTCTGCTTCGCAAACATTCAAGAAAATAATATTTGCAATGTATTGATATTGTTTTTAACAACTCGTTTATTCTTTAAACTATCTTTAATTAATAAATATCAAGATCTTGCATTTTATGACGTAACCGGAAGCGCACTTGATACTATAACGTGACCCGGAAATACCTCACAACATAATCAGGACAGTAATAATAAACAGAGGTGCATCGAACATTAACATATTAGTACCGTATGTAGTGAGACACTGATGTGCTAGAATACAACACAAGGTAATACTCGTTTAATACATTGCTATCACATCAAGTACTAACTGACATTTTTGCGATCGCGCAGACCTACTTTCGTTTTACAGTTTACATACATTTGTACATGTCGGCATCAACAGTATACCTTAACTTGTGTCCTTCATCGTGCTGAATATTATACATAGGCGCATTCGAGGTAAAGTTCGTGATTAAAAGCTTGTGTGTGTGTGTGTTTTTTTTTATCTTAAAATTATCGGATAAAAGCATAGTGGCATGTTACTTCAAAATACAAGATACAAGAATCATTATTTTACGTTGAATATATGTCTTAGTTAACATAATCTCTCAGGAGCTTGTATTTCGACAAACATATATGTATATATATATATAAATGGTACAACACATTTTTATCACAAGATACCTACGTTGGAAAGATTAAGATAAAGAGGCTAAATAATCATGCTGTACAAAATTTGGCACTAAAACAACTTACTTAAAAACCAGTCCAGAGGGCAGGTGATTGGGACATAGCATTTATTTGTAACCAGGAGCACGGGTTTGGTAGCCGTTAATATTAAAAGACGTTTTTAGTATTGATGCTGCTCGTGATGTATCTTTCGCTTACAAGTTAAAGCGTCGTTATCCAAAAAGATGAATAGTACAAAAAGGTCGCCTATGTATTTCCCTTGGTTATCATTTACAGTTAGAATATTGCCAATTATCTCTACCAACTGATCATATACAGAAAATGTTTCTTTAAGTATTGTCCTCCTTTGTTTTTTTTACATAAATCATGACATAGTCGACAAGGCAACTTGGTACTGGGCGCCGCCATATTTATTTACGTGCACAGGGACTTGGTATTAATTTCTAACCTCAGTTCACATATGTGTATTCTATAATGTATGATATACAAAAAAATATGTGGACCATAGGATGGTAATTCGTGCCAAGTCCCTGTGTCAGGTTCAATCATTTGAAAGCTTAGAGAACAAGGCTAAATCCGCTAAGGTTGAATACATGAATATGTGAATACAAAATGAACTCTTGGCTAGCAAAGATGAGATATTACAGGCTGGACAGATAATGACAACAAAAACAGGCTGAAAACATGCATGGAATATGTTTTTCTTAAGGGAGGCTGTATAAACACATGATTATGTAAAATCATGATGGAAGTCCATTTTACCCGAATTACCTGACGATGTTTTCAATACCTTCAGTTCATCTATATTTCCACACTGTTCTCTGTATAAGGGATAGGAATCAGTTTGTTTTTTGGGGGTTTTATAAATCCTTGCAACCACTTTTAAATCATATGTATAAGAAAGGTCTGCCAAATATCTGTCTCTTTGACAGCTTTACTACAAATATATAGCAGGAATTGAACTTTCTATATCAACTGCACTACTCTTCATATTATTTGTTGACCTTTTTTTTGCTACAATACATGGAGTTTCCTCACAAGATGCTGATAACAGAAAAGAGTCTGAAACCTTTATCATATCTTTTAGAATACTGTGTTTAAAAAAAATGTTATACATGTATCTCTTCGATCCACTAAACATCAACAAACAACATTTAAACCCTTCATTCCCTAAACATGTTATTAAAAGGATTGTAAAAAATAAATATGTGTTCGCTTAAATGTTAAAATATTTCTGTTCAACATTCATATTTACAGTGGTGTTCAAATCCACTAATACATAAGTTGACATAAAATTGTACTGCAGTATTTTTTGGTTTGACTTTTGACAGCTAAATAAGTCTCATCAAGGGTCAATGAAATGGGAGATATTTAAAAATACCCAAAATTCGCCAAGAAAGCTGAAATTTACAAAAGGCCAAAAGGTGAAACTTTACACCATGCAGGCCAGGTTTGAACATTTTACTGTAATGTTTGTTTTACTTTCCGTGTGGGGAGGATTTTTAATGCATCTCGACTGTTATATCAATCAATTAATTTTCATTTAGATGGTATCCCTGAGAATTATTTCTTAAATAATTTAAAATTTGTTTCAAGTGATACTCATACTCTCTGTTTTAAACTAGAAACACTTGCTATGTACTCTAAGTATTTGTGCATTTATGATTGATTGTCTTCCTTTGGATAATATTTCTGTGAGTTGTGCCCCACACATGATTTCCTCACATTCCTTTCTGTTATATATCGGATATAGTTTGTTACTTCTATAAGTTCCAAGTTTCCTTTTAGATAAAATATGTCATGTTTAGGTGATTTTTGAGAATGGGTGGTTTTGCTTATTGTTTTGCAAGGTAACAATATTTTTATGTTTATAATATATATAGAGTGCTCCCATAGCTACCACTTTCTTTAAAATGTAGATTTTCTTCCCATTGTTTTTGGATGAAAATATCCTGAAATTTTAGATAGTTTTGAAGTTTTGCTTAAAACTTACCATACGGACAATGTCAGACAATTTCAGACATGCGAAACATATAATAATGTGTCATTCTTCTTGAATTTGGTGTACAGATAGATCTTGAATTGACAGATCTGTCAGATCAGCACAAATTACTTCAATTGGAGTCTGCATAAAGAGTTATGTCCTTTCACTTTCTTTTTCAAGATTACATGATTCAAACAATTTTCTACCTGAGTCATCGAATCTGTCAAAATCTGTCAAACGATAATTTACATACAATGTACATGGGGGAGGGGGGAGGGAGGGGTTAAAAGTTCGCCCC